TCTCTATCTCTATCTATCTATCTATCTATCTATCTATCTATCTCTCTTACCCCCCTCCCTTTCTCCCTCCCTCCCGTGTCTTGTGAGCGTGCGTTTAGACTCTCTCTCTCTCTCACACACACACACTCTCACGTGGGCGTGTGTGAGTGCTTGTTTTTCTTAATAAAAAGGCCTCGATGGACCACGGATCAGATATGAAACTGAACGGAGTAGATGCTATGCTTGATCGTTTAGGGGCAGGATCCGATATGAAAGTTAGCGAAGCAGGTACTACACTTGATCGTGTGCGGGCGAGGAGGGGGGAGGCGCATAGTTAGTAGATTGGGTTCTCTCTCTCTCTCTCTCTCTCTCTCTCTCTCTCTAGCGCGCGCGCGTGCGCGCTTTCACCCTCCCCCTCAGGGCCCCTCCTCCCACTGCTGTCGCAGATCCATTTGCTCTCTCTCTCTCGCGCGCGCGCGCGCGCACACACACAGAGCATGCACACTGGAAACTTTTTTTCAGTGGCGGCAGGAAAAGACCCCACGTGCGCCCAACGTTTTCTTCTTATTCAACGGCGACGGTCAAAACTAACTCAACGGCGGCGGTTAAAACTACCTCTCTCTCTCTCTCTCTCACACACACACACACGCACACACACAGATCCGAAAACGGGACGGAGGCTGCATGGGGGCAGAAGAGAGTCGAGGTGGCAGCTTGTCAAGGCGGTCGAGGAAGAGTGGAGGGGAGAAGGGGAGGCGCTGTAGTGGAATAGTGTTGGGGGGGGGGGGGGGGGGGGGGGGGGGGGGGGGGGGGGGGGGGGGGGGGGGGGGGGGTGGAGGAGTCGGGTGGCGTAGGAGTAGCGGAGGGAGGGGGGGGAAGTGGTTTGGGGAGGGAGCCATGCCACTGACCTGAGGGTCCCATCTTGCAGCAGCATTCAGTCGGTGACAACTTCTCCACCGCACCTCAATCTTGGCCCACCACACCTCACGGCGGCAGCTGGCCAACCTTAGGTGAGAGGGAGAGAGGGGTAGTGTGTGTGCGTGTGTGTGTGTGTTGTCAGGTTTGCTTTACAACTCCATTAAAATAGCGTGACTGTGGCAGACTGTTTCGCCGGGCTTTGACCGACTCATCAGGAGGTTGAACCCCAACAGTCTTCCCAGAGTGAAAGAGAGAAGCAGCGAGCAAGAGAGAGAGTTGGGCGCTGCGCACCAAGGTCCACAACAGCAAGCAGGGCATACACAACACGGCCAAAGGCAGTACCCACCACGTACTACGGCAAACAACATGAACGCGTCGGCACAAAGCTCAAGAAAATATGGCGCAATGCGGTTGGAACCGACAGTGGCAAAGTGAGGTACCCAAAGTTGCCTGCGAACTGGGTCGTCGGGCCGTTCGCCCCGAGTTACTGGGCTGAGGGCCTGGATCTACAAGCACGGCACTTGACTCCGCTAATACTCCACGGGACTCCACGGCGCGTCTATCTGCGAAAGGCACTCCACAGCGTGTCTATCTAAGCCGTCGGTACGGACTGACGGTCTGGATCTCGGCGCGGTCCTAAGATCTTAAGACCGCATCTATCCAGGTCGTCGGTCTGGT